ATATTCTCATATTCCCTCTTCTTCATCTCCTCATACCTTTTTGTTATTTTTGTTCAGTTGTACTTCTTTCATCTTCTTTATTTTATTTATCTTCTGTACATCTTAATATTCTGGTTTTCTTTGTCTTATCTTCTCATATTTTACTTTTATCTTATTTATCCTCCAATTTTTTTCATCAAACACCACAGCATATTAAGAACACTAAAACGAAATCATAAATAATATAACCTGAAGCACCATATCACAATCGAACACCAATACATTGTGTTTTTTTTTATTATTATCTTTTGATTTATCATCTTCTCATTGTTGTGCTTTGCTCTTCTTTCTCTTATTTTCCTCTTTATCTCCTCTAGTGTCTTCATCTGCTTTGTTCTTCTGGTTTTTCTTTATATTCTTTGTTCGGTTTTTCTTCTTCATTCATTGTTTTCCCACCTTCTTATCACACACTCATCTGCTCCGGCTTCTTATTATTTCAAAGTTTATCTACTTCTTTTACTTTGTCATTTACTTCCAGATTTTTTTCCTTCATTTTCTACCATTGTTTTCCTTATTCTTATCCAACTTCCTAATCTCTTTTTATTTTCCTCTTTGTTCATCGTCATTTTTTTATGTTCTGGTTTTCATTCGTTTTCTTCCTGTCATTTATGATTTCTTTTTTTTTTTCAATGGTTTTGTGTTCTTGTTCTTTATTTTCTTTATCTTTTGATTGTATTCCAATTTTTTTTGTTCTCATATTCTTCATTTTTTTCTTCTTTTATATAGTTTCTTTTATTCTTTCGTTTTTGTCTTGCAACTTTCGTTTATCTTCCTCCCCCACCTCCATCTTAACCACATTCGTCTTCTCCTTCTTTTTATTGAGGGTTTCTTTATTTTCATCTTGTTCTTCTTTATCATTTTGTATTATCAATCTTTTTTTATAATTCTGGTTTTCATGTCTTTACTTTAATTTTTTCCAAGACTTTTGCAACATCTTATTTATTAGTTTCATCTTTTCCTTTTATATTTTGGTTTTCTTCTCATCTCATCATATTTATTCTTCATTCATCTCCTAGACTTTTTTGTTATTTTTTCCAATTTTGTACTTTTACCATCTTCTTTAGTTATTTGTCTTCTCTAACATCTTAATTTTCTGATTTTTCTTTGACTTTTCTTCTCCTATTTCTACTTTAGTCTTCTTTATCCTCGGGTTTTCTTCTTCCATTATTTTCTTCTTATTCTCTGTGCTCTGATGTACTTCTTCTTCTTAATCATGTATGTTTTGATAGAAAGGAACATAATCATATATGTTATGTTCTTCTTCTTCTTATCATGTTGGATATTGATAAATTGTTAATAAAGGTATTATTATTAAGTCTAATTCTAGAATAAAACATAAGTTTATGTTCGAACAAATTCTCCACAAATCTTGATGTCACCCACATGTAATTCAAAGGATTTCATTACATTTTGTGGTATGGTAGAAGTTTTATGTAGCCAAAAATCTCCTGAATGTTGATCCAATCAAGTGATGCTTATAAGGACTAAAATATTCAGAGATCAATAAACAACAAATAGGGGCACAGTTATCAAGTTTACAAACAAAAACAAAATCAGGGACACAGCTAATTAAGTTACAAACGAAAACAAAATACTATGCTCTTCCGTATCCATAGTTGTGACTGTTGAGGAAGATGTTACTGTAAACTTTTGTAAGTCTTTCCATCGTCAACCGTTTACCTGACATATCCTCAAGTCTCATAAATATCATTTAAGATCCATAGTTTCTCCTCCATATCAATTTTGACTGGAGGAGTCTAAAACCTGCGCAGAAGCCCCACCGTCCACCGAGTTCAACAATCCCGTTGTTTGCAAAGGATCAACTCCAAGAGAACCAACGATGATTTGCAACAAACCAAGCATATATACCTTCATCAGATCCTAACCAATTTATTTCCAAGAATTAGTGCCAATATTTAAAAGAAACTATAAAAGTTAAGTACTAAGCTTATAGAAGAGAGTGGAGAATTCAATCAAAATCCTTATTGCAACATGAACCAACAATACTAACAACCTCAATCATATAAAGGTAAACTTGGAGCATTACAGATGGAATCAGTAGCTTATAGTTTTTGTCCGACGTAAAGCAGGAGTAACAGTGATGTAAGTTGATCTAGAGATCCAGAGTTTGGCATCAGCTTATTCTTCACCCCACCGCCCCTGCCGCAATCGGATGATTCGCATCTCGACATGAATCATGTTTCATGTGCAAATTGGAAAACAAAGTACGATACACACATCAAATAATTAGAATACTCTTACCGAAAATCAGGTAACTTAAGCTATCAATATACTCTTACTAAAAATCAAAGAATGAAATTTTGTTGGGCTAAGATCCAAACGTCAAAGTTAAGTGTGAAACAATATAGCGTCTAAGACGAAGGCAAAACAATTTTTGATCTGGCTTCTTTTATAAAATATGATTAAGAAATACCGCTCGAGATAGATGCAATCTTCCAACTTGTTAGAATTATGGTAGAGTTTTTAGAATGCAAATGGTGACAAAGGCATGAAATTTTAAGACGCTCTGTGTTAGACCAGTACCCTTTGTTTAGAACCTGTTTGATATAGATAAGAAAACACTAAGTGATTATTAGGTCTGACCGTCTGAATCTAAACAACGTATTGGCTAACATAGAGAGAACATATAACACTCTAATTCAAATAATAATAAATAAATCACACAAATGGTCTAATGTAAAACGTCAAAACTAAGAACACGAAGACAGCTTTGTATATATAATTTGTAAAGATCTATCAAATTTAGGGTTTTCTCTCCCCTAAATTAATTACTGCTTGTATATAAGTTGTAATTAAAAAACAAAGATGTACATACCCTCTATTTCTTGAGAAGAATTGAGCGGCTATCACTGGGATTGTTCTCCGAAAAGGGCCTAAGGCGTTAATTAAGCATGTGAAGAAACAGACAATTCAAAAGAAGAAAAGAGACATCAATGTTTATTCTACCTAATGTTTCAACGATGAATGTCTACCAATTGATTCCACGTCATTCTTCTTCGAAGCCAATATAATCAATACCTATACTAAAGTAATTATAGAAGAGACTCCTTCATAGCTATTCGTTGATGGAGGCAACTCAACCTCTCATCTTGGTATGCTTTCAAGCATCTTAATACATTATTCACGTTCAATCCCCAAAACTGTATGTTAAAAGAAAGCATAAGTATTCATGCAACTCTGAACTGAGTCCCCAAGCCCTCAAGACTCTACTACCAGACCAAAGACTTCAAACAAAGCTTCGTTGACATATTCCAGCTTCAATCATATGTCCACATCTATCGACTACCATGAAAAACTAAAACTAATTCTCTTAACAAAGAAGAGCTTGGGAGGAGGTGGTGAGAGCACACAACACGGAAGCCATTGAAATCGTGAGCGGTATGGATACGATGAAACGTAAGAGCTAAGAAACAATAACAAACAATATTTATAGGTATGTCATTAGGGTTTTTTTAGCCGACATTAGGCTCCGAAATCTAAATCAAGAAAATTATGGTTTTTAAAGATAATTATGGTTTTCCACATCCTCTAGACTCCCTTAGAGTTATCATCTGGAATTGTCGAAATAAAAACCCAGAGCTGGAGAAAATAGTGTTTTTTCACATCCTCTAGACTCACCTAGATTGATTAAAAACCCTGCACGACAATATTGTTTCTTCATGTCTTATGACATCGATTCTAAAGCTGTGACCGGCAACTCTCCATGATAACCCTTTTTCCGTAGAGATAATTCAATATTAAGAAAAAAAAAATCCAGGGTTCTCAAAATTAACGGTGGGCCAATCATTCACATACCTTTTTAACCCTTTGTTGCACCAACCAATCTGCCAAGTTTGCATTGAGCTGGTGGAGACCGAATTCCAAGATATGCATTTCCAGTTCAACATTAACAAAAAAAATCAGCAAAACAATAGTACTCAAAAGCAAACACAATTTAACAAACATGTATGTGATGATAAAACTAATCACGGTCATGTTGTTCGTCACGATGATCATCATCTTCTTTTTTCTTGATAATCATAAGACAAAAACAAAACCAATCCTAGACAACCTATATGACGGGAATTCAATATATATTATTACAAAAGATGAAATATGGACTGAAGAAATTCTCTCTAGACCAAGAAGAAGAATCATAAATTGTGTTGATTTTGCTTGTTGCTATCTATTTATATAGACATAGTCGGTTAAGAAATCTAGGTTTTTCTTTTTTTTTTCCTTTCTATTTTTTGTAATTCTTACATAATTGTGGCGCCTAATATGGTAGTTAGGATTATTATCATAATTTTTTTTAATTATAAAAAATAGAAACCGTGACATTTAAAAAAAAGGGAAATATGAAGATTTAAATATAGAATTTTCATTAACGGTAGCTGGGTAATCAACCAGCTGAGAGTGAATGTGGTGCCTCTAAACGAAATTTTCACTTCGCAAATAATATATTAGATATGCATCTATAATTAAAAATTAACTTTTCCTTAACATGTGTAAAAACCTTAGAAAAGTAACCGAGTGAGTATATTCTTGCAATTGTTCGTAGAAGAATCTCTCTATTTATTTAATATTATTATTTTCTTACAAAATTGAGCAAGCTGATGGGAGAAACAAAAATAGAGCATAAGATAATTATTTTGTAAATCATAAAAATAAATATGCAGAAACCATAAAAATCATATGATTCGTTGTGGTTACTCACCGCCATTTGAGTACTGCAAAATGTAGGCTTGCATGCTGTATTACAAAGGAGATAAAGAGAAAGAAGAATCAGTTATCCAAAAGAGATGATTTTTGCTCTGGCTTCTACGATGAGGAACAAGCTTGTGAAAACTTCCTTAAACTTAGGGACGAGTGAGTGCCAAAACAGCTTAACAGACTTTACTGAATATAACCAAAGGAAAAAAGATACGTATAGCACAAAACAAATGAATTCAGTCGAAGTATTATATAGCTGTAAAATTTGGTTTCTTGAGCTTCTTCAAATTCTTCAAGCGCGAGGTACTGTTAGACACACCATCGCTAGTTAAGTTTTTACACCCGAACAAGTCAAGATATTCTAGACTCGAGCAAGCTTTACAAAGTCTGTCAAAAGCTTTATCAGTCAATGTGGAGAATCGAAGTTCCAAGTGCTTCAGATTCAGATGTCGCATGTGTTTCACAATTGTATGAGCATCAACATTCCTATAAATGTCGATAGGGTTGTTATCCAAATAGTTCTGAGGCACGAACCTCGTGTACTCTAATCTCTCGACCTCGCAAGGATCCATCATATTCCGTTTTAGAATCTCAAGATTCTTGCAATTCTTAGCCACCATTTCGATACACAGGCAAGATATTTCATAAGAGCAACTTATATCAAGTTCCTTAAGTTTATGACAGTTTAAGGCTATCAAGTTCATCGACTTAACTTGTAACTTTTGGGCTATACTTAACACAAAGTACCTCAAGATTAGGACACCTACAAAACAAACCAAATCAAATTTGGTAAGCGATTAGGAAGAATAAGATGATTTCAATCCTCCAAGGGATTAAGTGTAAAACACGGCATCTGGAAAACTGAGACCTACCTCTCCGCAACATACGAGATAGATCGATCCGTGCAGTGCCAGACTCGAATCTCCGTCAGAGCTCCTTCGCTCCAATCCACAACAGAGCGGAGGAGAGAGTCAATATTATCCTCGAATTGTGGACCCCACAACCAGCTGTTCGAAGTGGGGAGAGCCAAAAATTTAGCATCGAGATCGAAGACCAAGTTGAATGACGGGTCTTGGCACACGTTCATCCACGTCTTGCAGACCAGCATCGGTCCTGTTGATCTTTCTTCCATGTTCAGCCGTGAGAATATGTCGAGGAGACATTCCCGAGTCAACTCAGTCCAAGTCAGGGCCGAGTTCGGATGGACCAATCCCATCATGTCTTTTTCTTCTTTTTGAAACACCTTGATCTCATCATGTTTTTTGTTTCTTTATTTTGAAACACCCTGATCCCATCATGTTGGAAATTGCTTGTCCCATCTGATCGACAACGAAAAAGAATCAATTGATTAGGAGTCTAGGAATCGTACAACAAAGAAGAAGATGAGTTAATTGTCTTAAAGGCTTAGCTATGGAATGTGTTGGCTTTTAGATTTCTTGTTTCTCATGTTACCTTGTTGATAGTTAGAGAGAGCTTGGTCGTTTCGATTCTTTAACTAAGAAGTTACGAATAGTCTTCTAATCAAGGTGAAAAGTTCAAATGTTTGGACCTTTTAGCTGATAAATTATTCGACGTTTACCCATTTTAGGACGTCTACAATATTAACTTAAATACATGGTTCCAAGTATAGTGTCATGAAGATTTCAACAAAATCATAACAATTTCTCCAAATTCCTTTTTAGCCTCCAAAAATGTTAAAATAAACTTATCAATATGAAAATCATTAGAAATTCAGTACTGAAGAAATCTCCTTGGTTAAGTTCAATAGTTCATGTAAGCATTTCAACAAAAAAAAAAAACAAAAAGTAAGTTCATGTAAGCGATTGTAATTTTTTTTTCTTTGTGAAGAAACATATTGGTGGTATTTTTGCAGACTGTTCCTAAAACAAACTCTATAACTACTATTTTTATAAAATTAAGCGATAGCTAATGGGAGAACCAAAATAAAATAATATTAAATTAGATTACAAAACCTCGCAAGTTTTTTTTGTTGATTTTTATCCTTTACAGCTGTTGTCTAAGTCCGGCCCGTACTGTCTTGGCGCCTAAAGTTAAAAAAAAAAAAAAAACTTGACCCCATTAAAAATTTGGTATTTTATAAAAAGTAAGAAAAATGTTGGCTCAAAGGCTCAAACACCGGGAGACATAACCACTACACTACCAGAAGCTTTCTGTAATTTGGCGGTCCTAAATGTATATTATCTCTTGGCGCCTAAAGCACCATGTTTTATCTGCCTTAGGTCAGGACCGGCCCTGATCTAACTAAAACCAATCACAAACATAATGAGAAAAATATTATATGGACAGCAAACTCTAATCAAAGGATATGTATGTAGTTTGAGTATTTGACTTTAATGATATATCACGGAGAAGATTTAGGGTTTGATTTACCTCTGTATGTATCCGTGTTCTGTAAGTAATCAGGAATGCAACAAATTTGCAGAAGTTGGCTGAAGAATTAGGATTTGATCAGTTCCATGTTGTAATTAGGAGTCGATGCTATCGATTGTGAAGAACAAGGAGTCGCCAAAATTGGTAAAAGACAGAGCTGCAACGCTTTACTGTAGAGACCGTAACTCCGTTTAGTGTTACAAGTCGCGAGTGAGTTTTTGTTTGTGATCTTCTCGATCGCAATCTTCCTTCTAGTGCCTCCTCTCACCATTTTTTTTTTTTTGAGGAAAGAAACTAAACTCTAATTCTCAAATTACTGAACGAATTAAACAAGTCGAAAGAAAGAAAGGTTTTTGTGTCTATAAATGTGTAGCTACGACTTACGAGAAGAAGATAAAAACAAATCTTCGTTGTAGTGACAAAATATTTCCGTTTTTAAGTTAATACCAAACCCAGACAATAAAAACAATAAAAAGGAAACAACACCAACCCAGACTACTGGTTCAAATAAATCAAAACAATTTTCCAATTAGTGAAGAGTTAAACGTCATTTTAATTTAAACCAAACCAAACGAAACTAAATTCAATGACTTCGGTTAACTAAAACTACTAAACCAATTTAGTAATTTACCCAAAAAATTAGGAAATATCTTTAAGATTCTTAACATTAGGAAAAAGGAAAAATCGGGCAACTTTGCTTGGGTAGCAAGTAGCAAAATCAAAAAGCTGGCGAAAGCCAGAAAATTGGGGATTCTCAATTTGAATTTTCCGCCGTCGAAGAAATGGAGGATTCCTTGAAGTAGATTCACAGAAAAAAAAAAAAATCTTGAAAGAATCGCAGTCAGCAATCAAATCGTTTTTTTGTTTTCTTTTTTTTGAATTGCATGTAAAATTAATTCAAAGAAAAAACGTTTTTACATCAAGTGCATCCTTGTAGTAGAGCTTCTTTTAAGAGAACAAATAAAAAAATTCAATCTAAAACTTGAAAGAGATGTCAACGAGATCCAAACCACAGCTCGAGCCCCTCGTCGTATCGTTTATCACCCATATCCCTTATCGTCGAAAATCTGTTCCTCACTTGCTTATCGATTAGCTTGAGCAACTGATTTCGAGCAACTGGTTTTTCTCCATGTCTCCGATTGTTCCTTTCTCTCCAGATCATATGAATTGAGGCTTGAAAGACATAGCTCATTGTAAACAAAAGAAGTTTACTCTGTGAAGTGTCTGTGGGACGTAAAACTCACACTTAGAAATTTGATAGTAGTTTAGAGATGAGGAAGAAGTAGGTAAGATTCTCACGAACACTCAAGAACTTAGGCAAAAGAATAAGCAAATATGGACTTTATATTGATCAAACAAGATTTAGGGTTACAAGGTCTTTCTGGGAATACGAGAGCTCGAAGAGCGTACAAGATAAGACTTAGGTTAAAGATGTGTTCAATGAGTAAAAAATTGAATATCAGATGGTGAAAGATGATGAAAAGATGATCCCCTTTCTGCTTGGACTTCTGCCCCTTTTATAGTTCTCCTGCGAGTGCTCGTATCTCGCCTGCTTCCATGATCTTCGGGATCTCCTGCTGCACGTGCTCCGGATTTAGTGGGATCTCCACCGAGCAACTAACTCCGGATTTCTCGGGATTTCGCCGAACGACCTTGACTAAGTCCTGAATGATAGCTCGATATCTCGACAGCTCGTAACTCGAGATCTCGCCAGCTCGATGAAGACTAGAGTAGGCCTTTAAACAGGTAAGCTCAAGTAAATATACTTTATAGAATCGTTTAATGGACCTCAAGCATAGAGAGACTTAGGTGCTAAATCTGGGTCGTGAATTATTTCATCCCATTGCGTCGTGAATCTTGAGTCAAGAAGTTTTCTGGTTAGAGCAGACCATATCTCTGCAGAATAGCTGCAGGTAAAGAATAGGTGGTTCCTTGTTTTCACTTGTGCTTGGCAGGGTAAACAACTTGTTTGAGTTCGGAGGGTCCAACCTCAGATACGGTCACCTGTCGCGAGACGATTCAAATTTGCAAGCCACGAGTATTTGGGTGTTGCATGTGTGAACCATATACCCTTATTCCATTCCTTCATTGGTTGTGCTTGTCGAGTTAGACTCCAGGTTTCCTTGGAGCTAAAACTGTTTCTGAAATTGTCTCCTCTTCGTCTCCAGAGAACCATATCGTCTTCGTTTATAGTTCCCTGCCTTTTAATGGCATCAATGGCTAATTCGATACTATTAAGTATCTTTGTACGATGCCGTTTTCTTCGGTGTGTTAACAGGACATGCGCTACAGAGGAATCAATTGGAATTCCCAAGTCAATGCAGCCTCGTAAACCAGTAAGATCGTGTAATCTTCCTAGCGGAGACCAGACCACACATCGTACCAAAAAGATGTAGAGACACCATTACGGACCTCTATTTTGACAAACGAAGCTGCAATGTTTCTGTATTTTCAGAAGTTTTTTTCAAGTCCATGAACCCAGCGAGGATGACTCCTTAACCGACCAGAAAGATCCTTTACGAATCAAATACTGTCTTATCCAATTAACCCACAACGAGGAGTGTGCAGACATGATTCTCCATATCAGTTTCAAACAGCTTACCTTATTTACCTCCTCCTTTGGTTTGCACACTTCGCTCCATGCAACTTATTAAGATGTAAATCTGATATTTCTCATTAATGTTAAAATGAATGTACTTGTGGTACATATATGCACTTAGTAAGCTAAAGGAAACTTATCAAGTGACTAAACCGGAAATAACCGTCTATACACTCTAATACACCCCCCCCCTCAAGCCTGTGGGATTGGACAACGAGAAGGAGAGAACAGGCTTGAAATGGACATGCGAATGAGAAGGGAATGAAACGGCCCGGGCTGAAGAGGCTCGGTCAATATATCAGCATGTTGATTTGTAGTGCCAACATGCATGAGTGTGAGGAAGCCATTCTTCACTTGATCCCGAATAGTGTGACAATCAACTTCGATATGTTTCGTCCGTTCATGGAACACGGGATTTGTCGCTATGTAGATTGCCGACTTACTATCACAGAAGAGTTCGGCCTTAGCAGTTACTGTGATCTTCAAATCAGTGAGAAGTTGATGAAGCCAAAGAAGCTCACAAGTAGTGTGTGCCATGCTCCGATATTCTGCCTTCGTACTGCTACGGCTTACGATATCATGTTTCTTTGACTTCCACATAATGAGGGAGCTGCCAAGATAAACCCAGTAGCCAGTAATAGACCTTCGTGTATCAGGGCAGGTGGAGTAGTCAGAGTCAGAGAAAGCATTGAGGCAGAGATCCGATTTAGCGGAGTAGAACAGTCCCTGGCCGGGGTCATTTTTGACGTAGCGGAGGATCCGATGAGCAGCCGTGAGATGAACATCAGTTGGTGTATGCATAAACTGACTGAGACAATGTACCGCAAAGGTAATGTCAGGCCGAGTGATCGTCAAGTAGAGCAAAAGACCAACCAAGGCGCGGTAAGGAGTGGGATCATCGAGAGGGACGCCTGATTCCTTGCTAAGCTTGACCACGGGATCCATAGGGACTGAGCATGGTTTACAAGCCATAAGACCAGTGTCAGAGAGAAGATTCAGAGCATATTCCTCTGGCAAACCGAGATTCCTGCTGAAGTTCTGGCAATTTCAAGACCCAAGAAGAAACGGAGAGGACCGAGATCTTTGATCTTGAACTCTGAATGCAGAAACGTCTTGAGCAGAGTAACATCATCATCACTGTTGCTGGCGATCATAATATCACGACATATACCAAGATAGCAGTGAACTTGTTACCAGTTTGCTTGACAAAGAACGTGTTATCGGCTTGAGACTGAATGAAGCCAGCACACTCCAAAACTGCAGAGAGACAATGATACCACTGCCGTGAAGCCTGCTTTAAACCGTATAAGGACTTATGGAGACGGCAGACAGGATTAGGAGGAAGAACTTATCCCGGAGCTGGGGTATAACCCTGTGGCAGAGACATGTAGATCTCTTCATCCAAATCACTATGAAGAAAAGCGTTGAAGACATTCATCTGCGTTAAGCTCCATCCTTTGATAGCCGCAAGACCAAGCAAAAGTTTGACACTAACCAGTTTCGCAACAGGAGAAAAAGTGTCTGTGAAATCCACACCCTCCTGCTGTGTAATCCCTTGCAACCAAACGAGCTTTATATCTCTCTATCGTACCATTCTTTATACTTGATCGTATAGACCCACTTGCAACCCACGACATTCTTACCCGGAGGCAAGCTTTCAATAGTCCACGTTCTGTTAACCTCCATAGCTTCTAGCTCTTCACTCATGGCATGACGAAAAGTGGTGATAACATGGCTTGCTTAAAAGTAGTCGGTTCTGTTTCAAGGGAATATGAGAGAACATAGGTCTGAAAATTGGTTTAAGGGCTGAGTAGGAAAGAACAGAAGAGAGGGGATAAACTGTGGTGGAAGGAATCTCAGAAGAAGAAGAGGAGATTTGAGCGCAATGATACTCAGATAAGTAACCGGGAGCTCGTGCTGTTCGCTTTGGTCTTACATTGAGCAGACGACTCTGACCTGTACCTCGTGAAACAGTCTCAAGTGATATAGGTGTGGCATTAGAGTGTGATGCAGATGAATGAGTATGAGGAGATGCATCAGGTAATGGCACAGAATCATGAGACAAAGCAGGTAACAAGTCAGATGGAGGAGCATCAATGATATGATCTAAAGCAACATGAATAGGCAATGGCAAAATCGTTTTGTTAAACAAATCAACAATCGGAAAAGATGAAGGAGAGTCCTTAAAAGGAAAAATCTTTTCATGAAAAACCACATTTCGAGAAACAGAAACCACATTTGTGTCCAGATTTAAAACTTTGTAACCTTTAACACCAGGAGGATATCCGAGAAAAACACAAGGTTCAGCTCGAGGAGAAAACTTATTACGATCTTTTGGTAAGGTAGAAACGTAGCATAAGCAGCCAAAAGATCTCAGAAAATAATAATCCGGTGATGTTTAGCCAAAACCTTCAATAATAGAGAAGGGGTTCGATTGATAAGAAAAACCGCAGTATAAATGCAATCAGTCCAGTAAACGAGAGGAACATTAGATTGAAAAAGCAATGCACGTGCAACATTAAGCAAACGCTGATGTTTACGTTCAACGACTGAATTTTGTTGAGGTGTATATGCACAAGATAACTTATGAATGATGCCATGTGCGTGAATCAAATCAGTAAAGGCAAGTTCAGGTGCATTGTCACTACGAATTTTCTTAACAGTGCAATGATATTGAGTGGTAACATGATTAAGAAAAGCTGGAAAAACAGTTGAAACATCACTTTTATTCCCCATCATGTATATCCAAGTAACCCGAGTACAATCATCAACAAGAGTAAGGAAATATTTGTAACCTTCAACAGACCCGACAGAAAAAGGACCCCATGTATCTAGGTGAATGAGATCAAAAGGCGATGAAGACAAATGACTATTCAAGGAAAAGACAGACGCTTTTGCTTAGCTAAAGGACAAACAGTACAATGATGAGACTCACTATGCTTTGGTAAACGTAAAATACCGGAAAATGTTGTAACTTGGCAAAAGATGGATGTCCAAGGCGTTGGTGCCAAAGAGCTCCATCTACTAGCAAGGATCCACAGAAGTTTGAGCTGGTAGAGGGCTGTAAGATATACAGATTTTGAATGAGAGTGCCTCTACCAATCATCAAGCCCTGAGTAGACTCCTGAATCAAGCAATGATTAGAGTAAAAGTGATTAGAAGAATTACTGTCCTTTAGCAAGCTACTAACGCTGATAAGATTGAAGCGAAAAGAAGGAACATGAAGAACATTATGCAAAACAAGATCATGTGAAAGATGCACTATGCCCATGTGTGAGATAGGTTCTCTAATACCATTAGGTAACGAGACTGTGACAGCAGATACAGGTAAGAGATTGCTGAATAATGCCAAATCAAAACAAACATGTGTGGTAGCTCCACTGTCAATTATCCAAGATCCAGCAGGGAGAGAATTGTAAAGAGATGAAAGGCATTGGTGTTGAAAAGTAAGGCAATTGTGTTCAAAATGAAGGCTAGAAGAAGGAAAAGGTATTGAAACAGTACCAGACGTAGATTGAGCAGCCATGTGACCAGACTCAGTAATCGAAGCACGAGGAGGAGGAACTACAGGCTCTGGAGGACGCACATGACTCTGAATTTTCTGGATAAGAGTCTGAAATTGGTCTTGACTCATCTTGCTGAAGTCAATATTCACAGCATTAGTAACAGGAGGCTGCTGGTAGAGCTGATCACCAGCGAAGACGTTAGCCACCGCATTAGACTGTTGCAAGTTTGACCAAGATTGAGTCTGAGAATTGTTCCGTGGTGCATAGTTGTTCTGGCCACGAGGCATAGTCTGCTGTGAATATTCTTGGCCGTGGAGCATGTGTCCAGGAGGATAGCCATGAAGCTTATAGCATTTCTGAACAATGTGACCAAGAAGACAACAATAAGTGCAAAGAGGACGTTACTTCGCCTTGAAGTTGTTGTGGTGTTGAGCTGCAAATGTCGTGTTCTCAGATTGAGTATCATAAGAATAATCAGAAGGAGCTGAAGTCTGGAAAGCCACATTGTCGATCTTGGAGCTCGGCTTAATAGACTTTTGCCTCTCATCCTGTGCGATCATGTTAAACACATTTTCAGTGGAAGGAATCGGTTTTAGCATCAGGATATGACGACGAGAAGATTCAAACGATTCATTGAGTCCCATTAGAAACTTTGTGACACTGTTACGTTGTTGAAGACACTCCCATAGACTAACAGCATTGCACTCACATTTGCCACACGAACACACAGGAAGTTCAACGTAATTCTTGTGTTCTTCCCAGAGAGTCACCAATTCTGTATAGTAAGTGCCCACATCCATCGAGCCTTGATGAATACTACTCAAACGCTGTTCAATCTCAAAAACTCTAGGAGCATCGTCTTGCTTAAATCTAGCCAATAGGTTCTTCCAGATTGATTCAGAAGTATTCATAAAGAGAAGACTCTGACCGATTTTCTTGGAGACGGAATTCATCAACCACGTCGCCACCATATCGTTGGAACGCGACCAAGAGCCGGCATCGCGATGGTTATCGGGAGGTTTTGGAACGGTGCCGTCAATGAATCCGAGTTTGTTCCGAACATTGAGAGCCATCCGAACAGAGCGACGCCATGAATGAAAGTCCCCACCAGATTGGAGACGATCAGAGACGAGAATGAGTCCGGCATGATCAGAACTGTGGAGAAAATACTGATTCTCGTATTGATCCTGAAACTGAAAGTGATAGTTCGCCGGAGCTGTTTCCATGATTATGAGCTAGAAAACAGATCGTGAATCCAAAACAAGAGAAAGATTGTGCCGAAAATGAAGAGAATAGCAACAATCAAGGTCAAACGGAAGAGAAAATGGCAAGAAGGATGTGAATCACAAAATCGTGAATCGAAGCGAGAATCACCGAAACAACAACACAAAAAAGCTCAGAAATCAGCTGGGAACACGAAAGACTCATTGAATCCAGAAGGAATTGGAGAATGAGCATCGATTTCAAGCTCAAATCGAAGAAGAACGAGCCGAGAAAGTGCCGAGAAACAGTGAGAAAGAACGAGAATAGTTAAAGCGGAAAGTTTGTTACGTTTTCTCTCATACTATATTGAGATGTAAATCTGATATTTTTCATTAATGTTAAAATGAATGTACACTTAGTAAGCTAAAGGAAACTTATCAAGTGACTAAACCGGAATTAACCGTTTATACATTCTGATACAACTTTCACTTTATGTGGATTTAAATCAGAACCAGACCAAAGGAAAGCTGAACATAATTTATCGATTTCTTCTACAATCGATTTTTCGGAAACGAGATTGAATCCCGCGACTCAGTTCCATGGAGGCGAAATTGGAAGCGATATTGAAGCTGTGTGTCGATAGAAACAAACAGAGCATCGTAGCGCAACAACATGAAGCATAAAGATGCTACGGTAAATATTTCTAAACCTGGGAATGATTGTGAAATTCGAACTCAGGAGGATGTGGTGAAGAAAACGAAAAAAAAAAAAAAATCTAGAGATGTCTATTTTTCGATGTGATTGGTTTAATTTGTGAGAATATCCCATATAGGGAGTTTAGATGAGACTTATATTAAATGCAGTTTTAAGGGTATATAGATTATAGACTATGATTTTAGAGATGAATATATATTATCTTCTAATTTTTTTAAGAGATAGAACGATTGTCCGTCAAACTTTCTTTATTATGTTAGCAATGTGAGTACTCTCACCTTCCCAAATGCATCTAAGCATAAGCACTTCCATATTTAAAAATACCAAAGACTTTGGGCATAGCTGGCAGATAGAGTCTCGATTTGGAGCAACTTCGAAGGAAAGAAAATTCGCCGGAGGCGAGGGTAAGAGGAGGATAAAGGGTCTTCAAGCTAGAGACAACCCAAAGATTGAGAAGAAAAATATGATTCTGGCGGATCCAAAATCTTTTGAGTAGGAGTCCGCAAAGCCATCATGATCTTTTTAGTTTATCAGTTTAACTGTTTTTCCTATTGTGAATTTGATCTTTCTCTCCGTATTTTTACTTTCAAAAGGTTCAGTATACGTTTGCAACTGTATGTTTTATAGTCAACAAAACGTTGTATTGGTTCGTTAATATACCTTTTAGCACTTAAATCTCCAACATTATCAAGGAAAATCTGATACGACCTCAAATGAAACAATTTTTTTGTCAAATATCATTAGCAATCTTAAGTCATGAAACATGTTTTTCTAATTTATAAAATACTTGAAAATTTAAGAATCATTTAACCTGGATATGGCGACGAGAGTTATCTAATATAGAAAATCCATCTATTTATATTACTAGGGATTAAAGCCCCGCGCAAGTTAAAAATTTTCTGTTTGATTTTATTTATATTCAATGACTTGAAATTTTGAATTATAATGGTTATAAGTTAACTTCTATGTTTTAGTTATATTTTGAGTTAACCCAACAATTAACACTAACAATATGATCAAAACCTAACTATATACTATTTGAAGTTTAATATCTATTTATTTCATCTCCATTTTATATTACAACTTTCTTTTAACTTTAACATCAAGATATCACATATTTTATATTAATCAATTAAATTGTTTGTGTATTTTTCTTAGTTTTGTTTATGGGTAAAATAGGAATATATATATATAAAGAAATATTAATACACATATATTAAATATCTTAAATACAATTAATGATTTTTTTGCTGATGTAGATAGCCTAGGAGGAGAGAGCAACTCTCCTATTATATATAAGATCTTATTATATAAAGTCGGATGTGCGCGACGTGGTTGCGACAAGTAAATTTATTATAATTTACAGGATCGCGACATGTATCAATTTTAATGTTACATCCGTTAAGATCGTGACACGTGTCTTGAAAAAAAAAATGTTAGAAAAAGGAAAAAAGATATCTATTACAGTAACAAGAAGAAAATCATATTTATCATATCCTAATTAGAAAAAGGCTTTTAATTCATCAAATTTATATTATCCAAACACATATTAAAATTCAAAATAATGTAATAAATAAAATCCTATTTGTACATTAGGAAAAAACAGAAAAATGGAAATAAACAATTAAAAAGAAATAAATATTACATCCATTAGGAAAGTAAAGAAAAAATATAATCATATTACGAAAAGGAAAAAAAAACGAAAATCAGGAAAACATGAAGAAATAATAAAAAAATGTTACATCCAATAAGAAAGTGAATAAAAAATATTTCCATTACGAAAAGGAAAAAAACCAATATATAACAAGCTATATTTTTTTAAGTTTCTTTCTCTTAAAAAATCGTGTCTTTAAAAATTCAAGATATCAATGAATAATATTTAACTCTAGATAGCTACATTTGTCTAATATTTGATCAGGTGATGACATATCAACAAAAAAAATTGGAAAAATGTAGTAATAAATAAACTAACAAAATAATTATAAAACAACTAACTAATAATTAAAATGAAAATTTTTAATGATCAGAGGCACAAATAAAATTGAAAAAGAAACAATATAAATAAAAAACTAACACAATAATCAGTGGCGGAGGTAGAAAAAGTATATAAGAGGGTCAAAATTTGGAAGATTCACAACTAAGAGGGTCAAACCATTAGAAATTAACCAATGCTTCAATTATATGCCTGTAATAAATCAAAAAAATAGGAATTAGTGGGGGTCATGACCCCCTTGCTCCTTCACTGGCAGGAGCCCTGACAATAATTATCAACGAACTAAATAATATTAAAAAGAAAATTTTATAATGGACCGATCTTTTAATACTATATAGTTTAATTTTCCATTTTTTGTGAGGTAAAACAATATTAAAAATAAAAATTTCATCAATAGAATAATCAATGAGTCGATTAGATTTAGACACATATAAGTCTTTCTATTTAATATCATGAATTCAAAATAAAAACGTAAAAATATTACATATCTTATTTTATTTAGAGATTTGTTATTGGATTTTTTATATTATTTTATTTATTTTTAAAAGTAATCAAATTTTGTTTAATATTCTTCCGTGATTTAAAAAAATAAAAAATAACCCCCGCGGGGCCTAATATAGTACTCCATTAACTAATCAAAAGTTCATGATTTAATTATATCCCACGACTAATTAACTAATCTACATAACTAATAAGCCTTGGGACACTCTCCAGCTGGGGACACGTGGCACCCTTTTTTTTTTCTCCCCCTAACACCAAAACGACGTCGTTTGGCGTCTCTCCCATCTGCTTCCAAAACGACGTCGTTTAGGCTTTTTTTTTCCCAAAAAAATATCTATGAAGGAAAAAAAAAAATCCTTCCGCTGAGACTCTCCGCATTCCTTCCTCCGCCGCTATACCATCTCCTCCAATAGCCATCAATCCCAAAACCTTTATCAACCCTTCGTTTCTCTCTCCGCTTCGGTACATGTCGACGGCGATTTCGCTATGAAAAGATCCGGAATCGCACAGAAACCCTCGACGCCGGTCAACCTCTCTGTCCAGTACCGCCGACGGATTATTTCGAGAACAAGAGATTGGACTATTCCTTTTCTTCGCCGTCATCCTCCTCACAAAAATGGTAAGTCCTCTCGGTCTCACTGGTTAGTTAAGGTTTCGCTTCGTATATGTAAACTGGAAGTTTCACGCCCAAAATTGAACTCTTAATTCTTTCTCTGAATGTTTACTTTCATTTTTTTTCTCTCCATTTCATAGTGTAAGGATTCCCTGCTACATTTTAAAGAGATGCAGTCAAATTTTGGTTAATTTCAGAACTGTAATGTAGCAGAGATGGTGGTTAGGAAAGTGGGGAAGCCTGAAATAGGAGAAGCCGTGAAGGTATTTTCTCCAAAGTGAAGTACGCTCAGAACACGTAGAGAGCGTGCCATGGAAACTGTGGATCTGTTAAGAGAATAGTACGTATATTCCGATAACAACGGTTACAATGATGATCGGGATGGTATCTCTCCACCACCGAGCACCGTCTCACTTGATCTGAGAATAGTTTCTCCGATCACTCTCTCTCTCTCAAAGTTTGTTACAAATATCTGGATAATGTTGTAAAGCGTAAATGCACAAGTATTTAAATGAGATTCCCTTTTACTCTAACCCTCTGGCTCCGTTAGAGTCTCTTCCTTGTTTGCAACTTCTAAACCGATCTTCCTTCTTCTTCTCACGAACCGGTTAAGTGGCCTAACAATACCCCCCTCGTCAAGACGAAGCTTGTCCTCAAGTTCGGGAATTCCTGGATCAAGTCCGAAGCACGAACCCACGTCTTCTCATGTTCCGGAAGATCTTTCCAACTGACCAATGCCTCCAAATGGCCACCATTATCATAACGAGTCTCGAGTATTGATTCCGGTTCAATGATGAGCTCAGGTCTCTGATCAAATGAAGCAGGAAGAACAGAAACCTGATGACTCGATCCCAAAACTGGTTTCAACTGAGAAACATGAAACACGTTATGAATCTTAGACCCCTCAGGCAACTTCAAACGATACGCCACACTCCCAATCCTTTCCATTACTTCAAATGGCTGCTAACTTCTGATACAAGCGTTTTGAAACCATTGTTGTCGATATGGTCTCAGTTTCAAAAACACTTTATCACCCGCCGCAAATACTAACTCACGTCTATGCTTATCAGCATTGTTCTTCATCCGTGCCTGCGCTTTCACCAAATGACTCTTTAAGTCCTGCAACACCTCATCACGTTCTTTTAACATCACTTCCACATCATAGTTTGCCGTAGACTTCTCCTCAAAACGCAACAAACTTGGCACAGTTCTTCCATAGACCACTTGAAAAGGAGTTGTACCAATTGCTGTGTGAAAGTTCGTGTTGTAAGACAACTCAGCCCACGCAAGAAACTTCCCCCAAGACTTCGGATGTGAAGAAGCAAAGCAACGGAGGTAGGTTTCAAGGCAACGATTCAAAACTTCCGTCTGGCCGTCAGACTGAGGATGGAAAGCTGTACTGAACTTCAACGATGTACCCGCCTGGCGAAAGAGTTCGCGCCAAAAAGAACTCAAGAAAATTCGATCTCGGTCTGAGACAATTGATCGAGGAAATCCATGAAGTCTCACCACCTCTTGAATGAACTTAGTAGCCACATCAGTCGCCGTGAATGGATGTTTAAGCCTCAAGAAGTGTGCGTATTTGCTCAGTCTATCAATCACAACCAAAATCACATTCACTCCCTGTGACATTGGAAGTCCTTCAATGAAATCCATGGAAATATCTTCCCAAATCTGATTAGGGATGGGTAAAGGTTGGAGCAAACCCGCTGGTTTCAGTATTGAGTACTTATGCCTCTGACACACATCACACTCTTTCACATACTTCTGTATATCCTTCACCATCTTCCTCCAGTAGAATCTGTTCTGTGAGAAGTTGATGAAGCCAAAGAAGCTCACAAGTAGTGTGTGCCATGCTCCGATATTCTGCCTTCGTACTGCTACGGCTTACGATATCATGTTTCTTTGACTTCCACATAATGAGGGAGCTGCCAAGATAAACCCAGTAGCCAGTAATAGACCTTCGTGTATCAGGGCAGGTGGAGCAGTCAGAGTCAGAGAAAGCATTGAGGCAGAGATCCGATTTAGCGGAGTAGAACAGTCCCTGGCCGGGGTCATTTTTGACGTAGCGGAGGATCCGATGAGCAGCCGTGAGATGAACATCAGTTGGTGTATGCATAAACTGACTGAGACAATGTACCGCAAAGGTAATGTCAGGCCGAGTGATCGTCAAGTAGAGCAAAAGACCAACCAAGGCGCGGTAAGGAGTGGGATCATCGAGAGGGACGCCTGATTCCTTGCTAAGCTTGACCACGGGATCCATAGGGACTGAGCATGGTTTACAAGCCATAAGACCAGAGTCAGAGAGTTCCTCTGGCAAACCGAGATTCCTGCTGAAGTTCTGGCAATTTCAAGACCCAAGAAGAAACGGAGAGGACCGAGATCTTTGATCTTGAACTCTGAATGCAGAAACGTCTTGAGCAGAGTAACATCATCATCACTGTTGCTGGCGATCATAATATCATCGACATATACCAAGATAGCAGTGAACTTGTTACCAGTTTGCTTGACAAAGAGCGTGTTATCGGCTTGAGACTGAATGAAGCCAGCACACTCCAAAACTGCAGAGAGACAATGATACCACTGCCGTGAAGCCTGCTTTAAACCGTATAAGGACTTATGGAGATGGCAGACAGGATTAGAGGAAGAACTTATCCCGGAGCTGGGGTATAACCCTGTGGCAGAGACATGTAGATCTCTTCATCCAAATCACTATGAAGAAAAGCGTTGAAGACATTCATCTGCGTTAAGCTCCATCCTTTGATAGCCGCAAGACCAAGCAAAAGTTTGACACTAACCAGTTTCGCAACAGGAGAAAAAGTGTCTGTGAAATCCACACCCTCCTGCTGTGTGAATCCCTTGCAACCAAACGAGCTTTATATCTCTCTATCGTACCATTGATCGTATAGACCCACTTGCAACCCACGACATTCTTACCCGGAGGCAAGCTTTCAATAGTCCACGTTCTGTTAACCTCCATAGCTTCTAGCTCTTCACTCATGGCATGACGAAAAGTGGTGATAACATGGCTTGCTTAAAAGTAGTCGGTTCTGTTTCAAGGGAATATGAGAGAACATAGGTCTGAAAATTGGTTTAAGGGCTGAGTAGGAAAGAACAGAAGGAGAGGGGATAAACTGTGGTGGAAGGAATCTCAGAAGAAGAAGAGGAGATTTGAGCGCAATGATACTCAGATAAGTAACCGGGAGCTCGTGCTGTTCGCTTTGGTCTTACATTGAGCAGACGACTCTGACCTGTACCTCGTGAAACAGTCTCAAGTGATATAGGTGTGGCATTAGAGTGTGATGCAGATGAATGAGTATGAGGAGATGCATCAGGTAATGGCACAGAATCATGAGACAAAGCAGGTAACAAGTCAGATGGAGGAGCATCAATGATATGATCTAAAGCAACATGAATAGGCAATGGCAAAATCGTTTTGTTAAACAAATCAACAATCGGAAAAGATGAAGGAGAGTCCTTAAAAGGAAAAATCTTTTCATGAAAAACCACATTTCGAGAAACAGAAACCACATTTGTGTCCAGATTTAAAACTTTGTAACCTTTAACACCAGGAGGATATCCGAGAAAAACACAAGGTTCAGCTCGAGGAGAAAACTTATTACGATCTTTTGGTAAGGTAGAAACGTAGCATAAGCAGCCAAAAGATCTCAGAAAATAATAATCCGGTGATGTTTAGCCAAAACCTTCAATAATAGAGAAGGGGTTCGATTGATAAGAAAAACCGCAGTATAAATGCAATCAGTCCAGTAAACGAGAGGAACATTAGATTGAAAAAGCAATGCACGTGCAACATTAAGCAAACGCTGATGTTTACGTTCAACGACTGAATTTTGTTGAGGTGTATATGCACAAGATAACTTATGAATGATGCCATGTGCGTGAATCAAATCAGTAAAGGCAAGTTCAGGTGCATTGTCACTACGAATTTTCTTAACAGTGCAATGATATTGAGTGGTAACATGATTAAGAAAAGCTGGAAAAACAGTTGAAACATCACTTTTATTCCCCATCATGTATATCCAAGTAACCCGAGTACAATCATCAACAAGAGTAAGGAAATATTTGTAACCTTCAACAGACCCGACAGAAAAAGGACCCCATGTATCTAGGTGAATGAGATCAAAAGGCGATGAAGACAAATGACTATTCAAGGAAAAGACAGACGATTTTGCTTAGCTAAAGGACAAACAGTACAATGATGAGACTCACTATGCTTTGGTAAACGTAAAATACCGGAAAATGTTGTAACTTGGCAAAAGATGGATGTCCAAGGCGTTGGTGCCAAAGAGCTCCATCTACTAGCAAGGATCCACAGAAGTTTGAGCTGGTAGAGGGCTGTAAGATATACAGATTTTGAATGAGAGTGCCTCTACCAATCATCAAGCCCTGAGTAGACTCCTGAATCAAGCAATGATTAGAGTAAAAGTGATTAGAAGAATTACTGTCCTTTAGCAAGCTACTAACGCTGATAAGATTGAAGCGAAAAGAAGGAACATGAAGAACATTATGCAAAACAAGATCATGTGAAAGATGCACTATGCCCGTGTGTGAGATAGGTTCTCTAATACCATTAGGTAACGAGACTGTGACAGCAGATACAGGTAAGAGATTGCTGAATAATGCCAAATCAAAACAAACATGTGTGGTAGCTCCACTGTCAATTATCCAAGATCCAGCAGGGAGAGAATTGTAAAGAGATGAAAGGCATTGGTGTTGAAAAGTAAGGCAATTGTGTTCAAAATGAAGGCTAGAAGAAGGAAAAGGTATTGAAACAGTACCAGACGTAGATTGAGCAGCCATGTGACCAGACTCAGTAATCGAAGCACGAGGAGGAGGAACTACAGGCTCTGGAGGACGCACATGACTCTGAATTTGCTGCATAAGAGTCTGAAATTGGTCCTGACTCATATTGCTGAAGTCAATATTCACAGCATTAGTAACAGGAGGCTGCTGGTAGAGCTGATCACCAGCGAAGACGTTAGCCACCGCATTAGACTATTGCAAGTTTGACCAAGATTGAGTCTGAGAATTGTTCCGTGGTGCATAGTTGTTCTGGCCACGAGGCATAGTCTGCTGTGAAGATTCTTGGCCATGGAGCTTGTGTCCAGGAGGATAGCCATGAAGCTTATAGCATTTCTGAACAATGTGACCAAGAAGACAACAATAAGTGCAAAGAGGACGTTACTTCGCCTTGAAGTTGTTGTGGTGTTGAGCTGCAAATGTCGTGTTCTCAGATTGAGTATCATAAGAATAATCAGAAGGAGCTGAAGTCTGGAAAGCCACATTGTCGATCTTGGAGCTCGGCTTAATAGACTTTTGCCTCTCATCCTGTGCGATCATGTTAAACACATTTTCAGTGGAAGGAATCGGTTTTAGCATCAGGATATGACGACGAGAAGATTCAAACGATTCATTGAGTCCCATTAGAAACTTTGTGACACTGTTACGTTGTTGAAGACGCTCCCATAGACTAACGGCATTGCACTCACATTTGCCACACGAACACACAGGAAGTTCAACGTAATTCTTGTGTTCTTCCCAGAGAGTCACCAATTCTGTATAGTAAGTGCTCACATCCATCGATCCTTGATGAATACTACTCAAACGCTGTTCAATCTCAAAATCTCTAGGAGCATCGTCTTGCTTAAATCTAGCCAATAGGTTCTTCCAGATTGATTCAGCAGTATTCATAAAGAGAAGACTCTGACCGATTTTCTTGGAGACGGAATTCATCAACCACGTCGCCACCATATCGTTGGAACGCGACCAAGAGCCGGCATCGCGATGGTTATCGGGAGGTTTTGGAACGGTGCCGTCAATGAATCCGAGTTTGTTCCGAACATTGAGAGCCATCCGAACAGAGCGACGCCATGAATGAAAGTCCCCACCAGATTGGAGACGATCAGAGACGAGAATGAGTCCGGCATGATCAGAACTGTGGAGAAAATACGTATTCTCGTATTGATCCTGAAACTGAAACTGATGGTTCGCCGGAGCTGTTTCCATGATTATGAGCTAGAAAACAGATCGTGAAACCAAAACAAGAGAAAGATTGTGCCGAAAATGAAGAGAATAGCAACAATCAAGGTCAAACGGAAGAGAAAATGGCAAGAAGGATGTGAATCACAAAATCGTGAATCGAAGCGAGAATCACTGAAACAACGACACAAAAAAGCTCAGAAATCAGCTGGGAACACGAAAGACTCATTGAATCCAGAAGGAATTGGAGAATGAGCATCGATTTCAAGCTCAAATCGAAGAAGAACGAGCCGAGAAAGTGCCGAGAAACAGTGAGAAAGAACGAGAAAAGTTAAAGCGGAAAGTTTGTTACGTTTTCTCTGATACTATATTGAGATGTAAATCTGATATTTTTCATTAATGTTAAAATGAATGTACACTTAGTAAGCTAAAGGAAACTTATCAAGTGACTAAACCGGAATTAACCGTTTATACATTCTGATACAACTTTCGCTTTATGTGGATTTAAATCAGGACCAGACCAAAGGAAAGCTGAACATAATTTATCGATTTCTTCTACAATCGATTTTTCGGAAACGAGATTGAATCCCGCGACTCAGTTCCATGAAGGCGAAATTGGAAGCGATATTGAAGCTGTGTGTCGATAGAAACAAACAGAGCAGCGTAGCGCAACAACATGAAGCATAAAGATGCTACGGTAAATATTTGTAAACCTAGGAATGATTGTGAAATTCGAACTCAGGAGGATGTGGTGAAGAAAACGAAAAAAAAAAAAAAATCTAGAGATGTCTATTTTTCGATGTGATTGGTTTAATTTGTGAGAATATCCCATATAGGGAGTTTAGATGGGACTTATATTAAATGCAGTTTTAAGGGTATATAGATTATAGACTATGACTTTAGAGATGAATATATATTATCTTCTAATTTTTTTAAGAGATAGAATGATTGTCCGTCAAACTTTCTTTATTATGTTAGCAATGTGAGTACTCTCACCTTCCCAAATGCATCTAAGCATAAGCACTTCCATATTTAAAAATACCAAAGACTTTGGGCATAGCTGGCAGATAGAGTCTCGATTTGGAGCAACTTCGAAGGAAAGGAAACTCGCCGGAGGCGAGGGTAAGAGGAGGATAAAGGGTCTTCAAGCTAGAGACAACCCAAAGATTGAGAAGAAAAATATGATTCTGGCGGATCCAAAATCTTTTGAGTAGGAGTCCGCAAAGCCATCATGATCTTTTTAGTTTATCAGTTTAACTGTTTTTCCTATTGTGAATTTGATCTTTCTCTCTGTATTTTTACTTTCAAAAGGTTCAGTATACGTTTGCAACTGTATGTTTTATAGTCAACAAAACGTTGTATTGGTTCGTTAATATACCTATTAGCACTTAAATCTCCAACATTATCAAGGAAAATCTGATACGACCTCAAATGAAACAATTTTTTGTCAAATACCATTAGCAATCTTTTTAGTCATGAAACATGTTTTTCTAATTTATAAAATACTTGAAAATTTAAGAATCATTTAATCTGGATATGGCGACGAGAGTCATCTAGTATAGAAAATCCATCCATTTATATTACTAGGGATTAAAGCCCCGCGCAAGATAATTTTTCTGTTTGATTTTATTTATATTCATTGATTTGAAATTTTGAATTATGATGGTTATATGTTAACTTCCATGTTTTGGTTATATTTTGAGTTAACCCAACAATTAACACTAACAATATGATCAATTTTTTTTATTAAGATATTAACACCTTACTTCATCTCGAGTTTTCTATTTCTAAAATTTAATATGCATTTGACTCAACGTTAAAATTTGTAAACATGGTGTAGAATCGCAATTGCACTCAAAATATGATGAAAAACAAAAACATGTATAACTTCTTACATATATGCTTTGTTGTGGTAGCATATGACAATTGATTATTTTCTATTATGTTAGTTTTGTAAATATAAATTGTATTTTTGAAACAAACATGTCACCATTCTTAAAATTTTCATACTTTTCGTTGCAATGAAATTTAAATAATAACTCGACTTCTATTTTTTAATAAAACAAACTCTAACTCTAATTTTTTATTAGCTTTTTACTATGTTAAATAATTTATATGTACCTTTTTTACTTGTAAGCACATTATAACATTTTTAAATAGGATAAATCCTTTGAGAACTATATACTATTTCAAGTTAAATATTTCTTTATTTCATCTCCATTTTATATTACAACTTTCTTTTAACTTTTAACATCAAGATATCACATATTTTATATTAATCAATTAAATTGTTTGTGTATTTTTCTTAGTTTTGTTTATGTGTAAAATAGGAAATATATATAAAGAAATATTAATACACATATATTAAATATCTTAAATACAATTAATGATTTTTTTGCTGATGTGGATAGCCTAGGAGGAGAGAGCAACTCTCCTATTATATATAAGATCTTATTATATAAAGCCGGATGCGCGCGACGTGGTTGCGACACGTAAATTTATTATAATTTACAGGATCGCGACATGTATCAATTTTAATGTTACATCCGTTAAGATCGTGACACGTGTCTTGAAAAAATAAATGTTAGAAAAAGGAAAAAAAATATCTATTACAATAACAAGAAGAAAATCATATTTGTCATATCCTAATTAGAAAAAGGCTTTTCATTCATCAAATTTATATTATCCAAACACATATTAAAATTCAAAATAATGTAATAAATAAAATCCTATTTTTACATTAGGAAAAAACAGAAAAATGGAAATAAACAATTAAAAAAAAATATTACATCCATTAGGAAAGTAAAGAAAAAATAAAATCATATTACGAAAAGGAAAAAAAAACGAAAATCAGGAAAACATGAAGAAATAATAAAAAAATGTTACATCCAATAAGAAAGTGAATAAAAAATATTCCCATTACGAAAAGGAAAAAAACCAATATATAACAAGCTATATTTTTTTAAGTTTCTTTCTCTTAAAAAATCGTGTCTTTAAAAGTTCAAGATATCAATGAATAATATTTAACTCTAGATAGCTACATTTGTCTAATATTTGATCAGGTGATGACATATCAACACCAAAAATTTGAAAAATGTAGTAATAAATAAACTAACAAAATAATTATAAAACAACTAACTAATAATTAAAATGAAAATTTATAATGGTCAGAGGCAAAAATAAAATTGAAAAAGAAACAATATAAATAGAAAACTAACACAATAATCAGTGGCGGAGGTAGAAAAAGTCTATAAGAGGGTCAAAATTTGGAAGATTCACAACTAACAGGGTCAAACCATTAGAATTTAACCAATGCTTCAATTATATGCCTGTAATAAATCAAAAAAATAGGAATTAGTGGGGGTCATGACCCCCTTGCTCCTTCACTGGCAGGAGCCCTGACAATAATTAACAACGAACTAAATAATATTAAAAAGAAAATTTTATAATGGACCGATCTTTTAATATTAAATAGTTTAATTTTTCATTTTTTGTGAGATAAAACAATATTAAAAATAAAAATCTCATCAATAGAATAATCAATGAGTCGATTAGATTTAGACACATATAAGTCTTTCTATTTAATATCATGAATTCAAAATAAAAACGTAAAAATATTACATATCTTATTTTATTTAGAGATTTGTTATTGGATTTTTTATATTATTTTATTTATTTTTAAAAGTAATCAAATTTTGTTTAATATTCTTCCGTGATTTAAAAAAATAAAAAATAACCCCCACAGGGCCTAATATAGTACTCTATTAACTAATCAAAAGTTCATGATTTAATTATATCCCACGACTAATTAATTAATCTACATAACTAATAAGCCTTGGGACACTCTCCAGCTGGGGACACGTGGCACCCTTTTTTTTTTCTCCCCCTAACACCAAAACGACGTCGTTTGGCGTCTCTCCCATCTGCTTCCAAAACGACGTCGTTTAGGCTTTTTTTTTCCCAAAAAAATATCTATGAAGGAAAAAAAAAAATCCTTCCGCTAAGACTCTCCGCATTCCTTCCTCCGCCGCTATACCATCTCCTCCAATAGCCATCAATCCCAAAACCTTTATCAACCCTTCGTTTTTCTCTCCGCTTCGGTACATGTCGACGGCGATTTCGCTATGAAAAGATCCGGAATCGCACAGAAACCCTCTACGCTGGTTAACCTCTCTGTCCAGTACCGCCGACGGATTATTTCGAGAACAAGAGATTGGACTATTCCTTTTCTTCGCCGTCATTCTCCTCACAAAAATGGTAAGTCCTCTCGGTCTCACTGGTTAGTTAAGGTTTCGCTTCGTATATGTAAACTGGAAGTTTCACGCCCAAAATTGAACTCTTAATTCTTTCTCTGAATGTTTACTTTCATTTTTTTTCTCTCCATTTCATAGTGTAAGGATTCCCTGCTACATTTTAAAGAGATGCAGTCAAATTTTGGTTAATTTCAGAACTGTAATGTAGCAGAGATGGTGGTTAGGAAAGTGGGGAAGCCTGAAATAGGAGAAGCCGTGAAGGTATTTTCTCCAAAGTGAAGTACGCTCAGAACACGTAGAGAGCGTGCCATGGAAACTGTGGATCTGTTAAGAGAATAGTACGTATATTCCGATAACAACGGTTACAATGATGATCGGGATGGTATCTCTCCACCACCGAGCACCGTCTCACTTGATCTGAGAATAGTTTCTCCGATCACTCTCTCTCTCTCAAAGTTTGTTACAAATATCTGGATAATGTTGTAAAGCGTAAATGCACAAGTATTTAAATGAGATTCCCTTTTACTCTAACCCTCTGGCTCCGTTAGAGTCTCTTCCTTGTTTGCAACTTCTAAACCGATCTTCCTTCTTCTTCTCACGAACCGGTTAAGTGGCCTAACAATACCCCCCTCGTCCAGACGAAGCTTGTCCTCAAGTTCGGAGAATTCCTGGATCAAGTCCGAAGCACGAACCCACGTCTTCTCATGTTCCGGAAGATCTTTCCAACTGACCAATGCCTCCAAATGGCCACCATTATCATAACGAGTCTCGAGTATTGATTCCGGTTCAATGATGAGCTCAGGTCTCTGATCAAATGAAGCAGGAAGAACAGAAATCTGATGACTCGATCCCAAAACTGGTTTCAACTGAGAAACATGAAACACGTTATGAATCTTAGACCCCTCAGGCAACTTCAAACGATACGCCACACTCCCAATCCTTTCCATTACTTCAAATGGGCCATAGAAACTAGCTGCTAACTTCTGATACAAGCGTTTTGAAACCGATTGTTGTCGATATGGTCTCAGTTTCAAAAACACTTTATCACCCGCCGCAAATACTAACTCACGTCTATGCTTATCAGCATTGTTCTTCATCCGTGCCTGCGCTTTCACCAAATGACTCTTTAAGTCCTGCAACACCTCATCACGTTCTTTTAACATCACTTCCACATCATAGTTTGCCGTAGACTTCTCCTCAAAACGCAACAAACTTGGCACAGTTCTTCCATAGACCACTTGAAAAGGAGTTGTACCAATTTCTGTGTGAAAGTTCGTGTTGTAAGACAACTCGGCCCACGCAAGAAACTTCCCCCAAGACTTCGGATGTGAAGAAGCAAAGCAACGGAGGTAGGTTTCAAGGCAACGATTCAAAACTTCCGTCTGGCCGTCAGACTGGGATGGAAAGCTGTACTGAACTTCAACGATGTACCCGCCTGGCGAAAGAGTTCGCGCCAAAAAGAACTCAAGAAAATTCGATCTCGGTCTGAGACAATTGATCGAGGAAATCCATGAAGTCTCACCACCTCTTGAATGAACTTAGTAGCCACATCAGTCGCCGTGAATGGATGTTTAAGCCTCAAGAAGTGTGCGTATTTGCTCAGTCTATCAATCACAACCAAAATCACATTCACTCCCTGTGACATTGGAAGTCCTTCAATGAAATCCATGGAAATATCTTCCCAAATCTGATTAGGGATGGGTAATGGTTGGAGCAAACCCGCTGGTTTCAGTGTTGAGTACTTATGCCTCTGACACACATCACACTCTTTCACATACTTCTGTATATCCTTCACCATCTTCCTCCAGTAGAACGTGTTCTGTATCCGCTTCATTGTTTTAAGAACTCTTGAGTGTCCACCGATGACTCCCGCGTGAAACTCTTGAAGTATAAGCAGAATGTGAGAAGAATTTCGCGGAATCACCAATCTTCCATTCTTCCTCAGTCTTCCTTCCACTACTATATATTCCTTCTTCTCTTCTGTCCCCTCCAACACACGATTCACCTGTTCCTGTATCTGTCTATCCTCCGCAATTTCTTTATAAATGTCTTGGAGTTGTAGAGTTGCAGGGATCGTGATTGCGAACAACTGAGCAGATGTGAAACCCTCTTGTTCTCGAACTATGCGAGATAATCCATCTGCTGCTTTGTTTTCTACTCCCGGCTTGTAAATGATGTCAAATTCAAACCCAAGTAACTTGATAAGCCACTTCTGATAATCCATTGAGACCTCTCTCTGCTCCAACAGAAACTTCAAACTCTTTTGATCTGTATGCACTACAAATCTTCTGCCTAAGAGATAATGCCTCCATTTTTGGATTGCCAACACTATAGCCATCAGCTCCCTTTCGTAGATTGGCTTGATCTGTTCCCTCTCAGTCAATCCCGAACTGAAATAAGCGATAGGTCATTGTTGTTGCATCAGAACTGCACCAATCCCATAACCCGATGCATCTGACTCCACCACAAATACTTCCGAAAAATTTGGCAAAGCCAACACCGGAGCCGTCATCATAGCATTCTTGAGCTCCAGAAAGGCTTTCTCTGATCGTTCTGACTAAACTGATCCTTCTTCAGGAGATCTGTTAATGGCCTCGCAATGGTACCGTACCCTCTCACAAATCTCCTGTAATAACTTGTGAGTCCCAAAAAACCTCTTAGTTCTTTCACGTTCTTTGGTGATGGCCAACCTTTCATCGCTTCAGTTTTTGATGGGTCTGTAGCCACTCCTTGATCGGATATGATGTGACCCAAGTACTCCACTTGATTTTGGCCAAAAAGACATTTCTTCTTGTTCGCAAACAATACATTCTCCACAAAGATGTCCATCACTATCCTTAATTGTTCTTCGTGTTTCTCTTGGGTCGGACTAAACACCAAAATGTCGTCAAAAAACACCAGTACAAAGTGTCCCAAGAACGGTCTGAATAGCTCGTTCATAAGTGCATGGAAAGTAGCTGGTGCATTAGTTAGGCCAAAAGGCATAACCAAGAATTCATTTTGCCCATTAGTAGTCCGGAACGCTGTTTTCTCCACGTCTTTCTCGAGCATTCGGATTTGGTGATAGCCTGCTCTCAAATCTAGCTTCGAGAAATATTTCGCACCATGAAGTTCATCGAGCAGCTGGTCTATCACCGGAATCGGAAATTTTTCCGCCACAGTCACCTTATTCAATGCCCTATAGTCAATGCAAAAACGCCAACTTCCATCCTTCTTCTTGACTAGTAAGACGGGGCTTGAAAATGGGCTCTTGCTTGGTCTGATCGTCCCAGCCTTAAGCATTTCTCCCACTAAATTTTGCCATCTCTTCCTTGTAGGCATGAGTGTAACGATAAGGCCTCACGCTTATCGGTCCGGTGCCTGCTATCAGATTGATCGCATGTTCTCGTCCCCGTACAGGAGGTAGTTGTGTTGGTTCTGAGAACACTTGAGGATAAGCATCCAACAGTAGCTGAATTTTCTCCGGCACTTCCACAATTTCTTCTAAACCATTCAATTCAAAACTGTCCTCCACATTCAGATCTGCATACTCAGCCCACTTCTGTGTCTCTAACTGTTTCAAAGACTTCCTTGAAGACTGTAATTCATGATCTCCCAACAACGTAATCTTCTCTCCTTTGTAGTTGAAAGACATTTCATGTTTTTCCCAATCGTATTCACACTTCCCCAGAGTTCGTAACCACTGCACTCCCAAGATCACTTCAGTATTTCCCAATTCCAAGACAAAGAAATCTGCTGTGAAATCGTGATTCTGTAAATTCAAGCACACATCTTTACAGATTCATGAGCCATTCACCGTGATTCCAGTTCCCAACAATATATCGAACGTTCTGTTCCTAGCTGGAGAAAGCGAGGTTTTGTTTAAAACAGACGGATCAATAAAGTTGTGGGTTGCACCACTATCAATCATCACCACCAGCTTCGTCTTCCCAATTGTATCCCACAGTTTCGTCGCACTAGGAGAATCAAATCCCAGAAATGAGAACAATGACAACTGTATAGGTTCATGCATGTCTTCCATGTCTTCTTCTAAACCCTCAATCCAATCTTCCTCCATAATCTCTACCTCTTGTTCATTCACCACCGTAAATACTTCTAGCGTCATGTTGTGGCATGTTTTCTGATGTTCTCTAGACCACTTCTCTGGGCACTTATAACACAGTCCCAATCTTCTCTTCTCAGATATCTCTGCTGGACTCAGTTTCAACATCCCACTGTAGTTTCTTCCTCCGTTATTCTTCCAAGGCGGTTTTGCGTTTTGAGTCTGGCTCTTGCTCAATTCAGATTGCTCCGTATTTTGTATTGTTGGCTTGGGACTATCTGAACTTGAACTTGTGCTCCAATTCCTTTGAGAATTATACTGTGAACCCGAACGCAGAGGGAAAGATAATCCGCTTCTTCTGAAAGGATTTGCAACCTCCGCCATAGATTTACAAAAATGCTATCCTCCATTGATATCACTGTGCTAAACAACGCTGATAAACCCTTTGGTTTTTGCATCTTTACTACTTCCTGCATTTCTGGTTTCAATCCCAAGTAAAAGACGTGTTCCAGGTTTTCTTCCTCTACTCCAGTAACAATAGTTGTGAGTTCTTCAAATTCATTCACATACTCAGCTACAGGACCTTTCTGCTTCAACGCAAACAGCCTCATTCGTGGATTCTCCTCCATTTTCTGATTAAATCTTGCTATCAATCTCTTCTTGAACTGAACCCAATCACGAAATGGATCTCGACTCATCTCTCTGTTGAACCAATGAAGAGCTGGGCCTTGTAAGGTGATAAACAACACCTCTATGCGTTCTGCGTCGTTGTAATTTCCCAAGCGGAAAAACCTCTCTGCTTGATTGATCCAAGTATACGGATGAGATCCGCAAAACTGAGGTAATTCTTGTTTCTATTCTCTAAGACATTGTTGATTCCCCGATAACCTACATTTCTATTTCCTCCAGGTTCAGCTGGGAATGAATTTCGTACCTCACGAACACCGCCGGATGGTGACGCGAAATCCTCTTATCGTTGCGCCACGAGCTGAGCTAGTGTCTCCGATATCCGTGACATGTTCGCATTGAGCTCGGAAAATTTGTTATCCATTGAATCCATTCGTCCGGTGAGCTCCGTGTGATGCTCCTTCACTTGATTTCTCAGATCTGCCACTTCGCCGTGAAATTCTTCCGTTAGATCGTCGATCTTCCCCATTCTGATGTCGCGAATCCGCTTATGCACCGCACCAATTTGTTAAGAGAATAGTACGTATATTCCGATAACAACGGTTACAATGATGATCGGGATGGTATCTCTCCACCACCGAGCACCGTCTCACTTGATCTGAGAATAGTTTCTCCGATCACTCTCTCTCTCTCTCTCAAAGTTTGTTACAAATATCTGGATAATGTTGTAAAGCGTAAATGCACAAGTATTTAAATGAGATTCCCTTTTACTCTAACCCTCTGGCTCCGTTAGAGTCTCTTCCTCGTTTGCAACTTCTAAACCGATCTTCCTTCTTCTTCTCACGAACCGGTAAGTGGCCTAACAGGATCGTAACTCTATCATCAAGCGGAAGGTGGTCCATTAGGTTCTGTTTTCCTTTATCGCTCTCTCTCTATTCTTACTAATCTCTTCGATAGGATTGGGGGTGAGATATAGTTACATTGATATCTCCGTTAGCGTTAGCAGATTAAGAGGGAGATCTCAATAATAAAGCCTGTCTGCCATCTTTGTGTTGGTCGGATCAGGTTCATTATTTGACTGGTGGGTTGGTTTTACATTGAAAGGGATCACGCCGGTTGAAATGAGAAGATTAAGTATCGGGGATCAAAGTATATGGAGGATCTCTAGATAAGGTCAAGGGATGCACTGATGCGGTCGATAATGGTGACAAACTGTCTTGGGTGATAATGTCAACATATTAGCTCTCCACACCCCTTGGTTAGTTCCTTTTGACTCTAATCTCCTTTGATGTTTTTGACTCTGATCATTTTGCTCTTATTATCGCTGATTCCTCTGATATTTTACTGCATGTGTCAATCACACGAAGGGTCACATTAATTATTATGTGACCAGCAATGAAGGAGAAAACCCGGCCGTCTTCACCGGAGATACACTGGGTAACATACAGATCATACCATAGACACTATATCTTCTCGGTAGAACTTGCACCACTACTTCTCTTCGATATGGTTATATCAACTACAACAATACCGATGATGGTTTAGTGCCCAGAATCTTTCTCTCTATTTGATATAACATTGTACATTGTGGTTTATGATATGATTTTGTCAATTTATAACCATTTTTTTGGGATAATCTGAGTGATGGGTATTTGCAAAGATGGGTTAAAAATGATGTTTCGGATTGCATTTTGGGTTAAAAATGATATTTTGTTAGGGTAATGTTGAATGTTTTCTCTGCCTCTAATATGAATTTTTAGGTTTTTAATTTAGTTTTTGAATCTTTTTTTTCTCCTGTGTGTTTATGTTAATGACAGCTGAAAAGGCAGTGAAGAAGCTTAACAACAGTATTCTCAATGGGAAAATGATTCGTCTTAGGAACCGGTTTTGTTCTTTTATAATTCTCTTTATTTATTCGCTTTACTTATGCTTTTTTGCCTTCAGGTTTGTGAGAGGTCACTCACTACTGCAACTGGTGGCACCCATGGTCCGCTCTCTTCTAGCTATTACAATATACTAAATATCTCTGATTGAGATGTGATTGCCTGAATCATAGGCTAGTATATTTCTCATTCATTTGTAAAATATTGTGTTTCCTTAGTTATCTCTACAACCTCTGTATAAATGTAATCGATGTGATTGCCTGAATCATAGGCTAGTATATTTCTCATTCATTTGTAAAATATTGTGTTTCCTGAGTTATCTCTACAACCTCTGTATAAATGTAATCGTATAGAACTCAATGGAAATCATCAATTCATTCGCATCATCTCATCTATCTTATATGGTATAAGAGCAGTGATCCATACCTCTCACTAAAATTCTTGTTTTCTTTTTCATTTCTGCTCATTTTTTGCCATGGGTTCGACTGGAAACAATCTTCCCATCAACAATGGAGTCACTGAAACAATCTCCACCACTGCTGGATCTCTTCTTCATGTTAACATGACAAACGTTACCAAGCTGACCGCCACCAACTACATCATGTGGAGTCGTTAAGTTCATGCTCTCTTTGACGGCTATGAGCTTGCCGATTTCCTGGATGCAACAAAGAAGATCCCAGATCCGCTCATCACCGTTGCCGGATCTGCAGTTGCGAATCCAGCCCATGCACTCTACAAGCGTCAAGACAAGCTTCTCTACAGCGCCATCCTAGGTGTGATCTCTCCTTCCATTCAATCACTCATGTCCAAAGCAACAACCACAATCGACATATGGGAGACTCTTGCCTCCACATATGCCAAACCTAGTCGTGGGCATATCAAGCAGTTGAAGCATCAACTCAAACAATGGAAGAAAGGCACCAAAACCGTCGATGAGTACATTCAAGGACTCGTCACACGTTTCGATCAACTTGCACTTCTAGGCAAAGTTATTGGGTCTGATTGGTTGTGGCTGTAGCTTTAATTTTTGTGCTGTAGAATATTTGCTGTAATTTTTTTGGCTATAGCTGTATAAATTTTGGCTGTGATTTACAAATAAATAAAAGCATAATTATAAATATTAATTATATGTTATAGATTATATTTATGCAAAACGAGATTACATCATAAATGAGAATATCTTATTATATAAAGCTGGATGCGCGCGACGTGGTTGCGACACGTAGGATTTTTATAAAATTTAGGATTGCGACATGTGTCACTTTTAATGTTATGTCCGTTAAGATCGTGACATGTGTCTTAGAAAAAAAGGAAAAAATAATAATTAAAAAAAAAGATAAAGGAAAAAAAACGAAATTTTAATCTTTTATAGTTAAAAGAAAAAAAAATTATATTTGTCATATCCTAATAGAAAAAGGTTTCCCATTCATCAAATTTATATTATCCAAACACATATAAGATTCAAATTAATGAAATAAATAAAATCCTATTAGTACATGAAATAGGTTAGGTAAACTAAATTTCCTATAACTGCATGGAATAAGTTACATGAACCCCTATAAAAAGAGAGTTAAAGTAGTCTTTTTTCTCATTTACAAACTCATCAAAGCAAACAACATGATAGCAATACGCATGATTTTTATAACTCACAAAATTGCGATATGTGTTTATATTCCCATTATGAACAGGAAAAAAAACAATATATAATAAGCTATTGCGATTCAATTATGTGCTTCTATCTTTTGTATAATCTTTTCTCTCATAAAAAATCATGTATTTAAAATTCATGGTATCAATGAATAATATTTAACTATATTAGTTGGATAGAAATCAAAATTATTGTCGTTACATGTATTTGATCCGGTGAAGACATGTTAATTGGAAAAATGTTAAACAGATATAAAAACTAGAAAAAAAACTAACTAATAATGAAAATGAAAATTTATAATGGTCTGAGTCAAAAACAAAATTGAGAAAGAAACAATATAAATAGAAAACTAACAAATTAATTATCAAGCAACTAATTTTTTTTTGACATCATCAAGCAACTAACTAATATTAAGAAAATATAATGAACCGATATTCTAATTTTAAATAGTTTAATTTTCAATATTGTTAGGTAAAAAATTATTAAATAAAGATTTCATCAATTGAAATCTCTTGAATGGAATAATAAAGTTTTGTTGAATTAATTAATCAGTTGATCATATTTAGACATATATAAGTCTTTCTATATTGGATAAAAATAAAAATAAAACAAATTAATTCATTTTTCATATCATGAATTCAAAAAAAATATCAATTACAATAAAAACGTAAAAAGGTTACCGATCTTATTTTATTTAAATATTTTTATCGGGTTTTTAATATTATTCTGTTTACTTTAAAATGATCAAATTTGGTTTAATACTTTTCCATGATTTTATTACAAAATCTTAAAATAAACCCGCGTATACGCGGGTCTTAATCTAGTATAATATGTAATCCAATAAAAGAAGTTTTGTATGTTATTAGTTAATTTATAATTTATTTTATATATACGTTGACATACATATATGGAAAAAGAATGCACAACTTTTTTAGAGCACTAATTTTTGGGATGTAGAAAAATTGCTTCTCACAGCCAAAAACATTCATTTTTTAATTTTTGGGCTGTAGACTGTTTTTAAGAAGGGAAAGCTTGATTGGTGTGCTAATAGAGCTGTAGAGAGAAAAGTGGCTGGTACAGCCTCTACAGCACAAACCAATCAGCCCCATTGATCTTGAAGATCAAATTGAGTTCGTTCTCGAAGGCTTACCCGAAGACTACAAATCTGTCATCGACCAAGTTGAAGGCAGAGATGCGCCTCCTTCTCTCACTGAGCTACATGAAAAGCTGATTAATCATGAAGCCAAAATCCTCACGGCTGAGCCTCCTTCTCACCTCCCTGTCTCCGCCAACATTGCAACAAATCGCTTCAAACCAAACAACAAAAACAACAACCGCAATCAGCAGTGGCAAAACCAATCTCAGCCACGGCAAGCTTCCGACAACAACAATACGCCATGGCAACCAAGACCTTACCTTGGCAAATGCCAAATCTGTGGGATTCAAGGTCATAGTGCACGCCGCTGCCCTCAACTAGCTCGTAATGCCACAGGTCTCCTTCCCTCTCCCACAAACTGGCAACCACGAGCCAACTATGCTGCTGGAAGCTCGCAGATTACTCCAGGATGGGTGGTAGATTCCGGTGCTACGCACCATATCACGTCTGATCTTGCAAACCTCGCTCCTCTATCAACCTTACACCGGTGGAGAAGAAGTCATCATCGGAGATGGGAATGGTTTGTCAATCACTAACACTGGTTCTGCAATCTTACCCTCTACTATACGACCATTGACTTTGAATAATGTGTTATGTGTACCTGCAATCAAAAAGAATCTCATCTCAGTCTAAAAGCTATGCAATGCTAATCGAATTTCTGTCCAATTTTATCCCAATTGTTTTCAGGTGAGGGATCTCAGCTCGGGGGCCCCATTACTCCAAGGACGCACCAAGGATGAGCTCTATGAGTGGCCAACCTCTTTACCGAAAACCTTCCTCACCACTACTATCAACAATAAAACCTCAGTAGCTAATTGGCATTCAAGGCTTGGCCACCCTTCACCATCCATTCTCAAAACAATTAGCTCTCGTTTTTCATTACCTACTTTTGATTCTATGTCTTCTTCTTTTCATTGCGGAAATTGCTTATATAATAAAAGTCAAAAACTTTCTTTCTCTCAAACAACTCTTACATCTACTCGTCCTCTTCAAGTTCTCTTTAGTGATGTTTGGATATCTCCCATCACCTCTATCGACAATTTCAAATACTATTTAATCATTGTCGATCAGTTTTCTCGCTATATATGGTTCTATCCCCTCAAACTCAAATCTCAGGTTCGTGAGACATTCATTCGTTTCACAAATCTAGTAGAAAATCGTTTTCAAACAAAAATTGGTACCTTATTCTCTGATAATGGAGGAGAGTTCATTGCTCTTCGAGATTTTCTTGCTTCCAAAGGAATTACCCATCTCACTTCCCCACCTCACACCCCTGAACACAACGGGTTAGCCGAGAGACGACATCGTCATATTGTCGAAACCGGCTTAACTCTGCTCCATCAAGCTTCAATCCCAAATACATTCTGGCCTTATGCTTTTGCTACTGCGGTTTATCTCATTAACCGTATGCCTTCCCAAACTCTATCTCTTCAATCTCCCCTCAAAGTTCTCTTCAAAATCGAACCCAATTATACTAAACTCCGTATTTTTGGTTCCACATGCTATCCTTGGCTTCGACCATACACCAAAAACAAACTTGAATCTCGTTCCAAACCATGTGTGTTCATGGGATATTCCTTAACCCAAAGTGCCTATCTCTGTTTTGATCCTCAAGAAAATCGTCTTTATACCTCTCGTCATGTCCGCTTTGATAAAACAATATTTCCCTTTCAAAATCTTTCTCATTTCACACACATCGCAGATACAGAAACCATTCCTTCTGCGCCTCCTTTCACCATTATACCCACAAACCTTCCACTCATAGATGCTCAATCCACGGCTCCGCCAGCGTCATCCGCCAGGGTCTCTAGCTCAGACACCTCACCACCGTCACCACTGTCGCCACCGTCGCCTCCGTCCGTTCACCAGTCGCCACATCCACCGGCACTCTCTCCAATTCCGACCAATGCTCCGTCGTCTCCAGCGACTTCGACATCATCTCCCAATACCTCTGTCACACAGACATCGAATGATGCCTCCGATGATTCTCCGTCTCATGAATCAGGTCCAACCACAGAAAATCAAAACCAAAATCCCATAGCCCAACAAGGCCCAATACAAAACCCTCCACCTCAAGAGCCCATAAATCGCCACCAAATGACCACACGGTCCAAAAACAATATTACTAAGCCCAAACAGAAGTTTTCCCTTATGGCCAAACTCATCACCTTCACGGACAAAGAACCTCGTACCCTCAATCAAGCTCTCAAATCCGAACACTGGAGACGATCGATGTCGACAGAATACAATGCCCAAATCGCGCTTCGTACGTGGGATCTTGTGCCGCCATCACAAGGTCAGAATATCATCGACACAAAATGGATATACCGGATCAAGCATCTCGCCGACGGAACTTTGGATAAATACAAATCTCGTCTGGTCGCTCGTGGATTCAATCAGCAGGAAGGAATTGATTTTGGAGAAACGTTCAGCCCTGTGATCAAATCCACTACCACTCGAACGATTCTCAAGATTGCGATATGTAAAGATTGGTGTCTTCGGCAACTTGATGTGAATAATGCATTTTTGCAGGGCACTTTAGATGAAGATGTTTTTGTGCGACAACCTCCTGGATTTGTGGATCCAGACAAGCCTGATTATGTCTGCAAGCTGCGCAAAGCCTTATATGGCTTAAAACAAGCTCCAAGAGCATGGTACATGGAGCTTAAGCGCTATCTTGAAGAGATTGGTTTCAAAAACTCTCTAGCTGATACCTCGTTGTTCATTCTCAAGCAACGATCTACTCTCGTCTATGTTCTCGTCTACGTAGACGACATCGTTGTCACCGGAAACAACAAGGAAGCGGTTGAGCAAGTCATCACCAATTTGGCCACTCGCTTCTCAGTAAAAGACTTGGGTGCTTTGTCTTATTTCTTGGGTATTGAAGCTATTCGCACTCCGCAGGGTCTTCATTTGAACCAACGCAAGTATATTCATGATTTGCTGGCTAAGATGAATATGCACGATGCAAAACCAGTAGCCACTCCTATGGCTGTATCTCCAAAGCTAGAAAAGTCAGGAGCTCTCCACTCAAATCCAACAGAATACAGAACATTGGTGGGAAGCTTACAATATTTGGCATTCACCCGACCAGATGTCTCTTATGCGGTTAACAAGTTGTCTTAGTATATGCAGTCACCAACGACGGACCATTGGCAAGCGGCAAAACGCGTCCTGAGATACTTAGCTGGCACAGCTACACATTGTCTCTTCATCAGCAAGTCTCAGAATCTTAATGTCCACGCATTCACAGATGCTGATTGGGGAGGTGATTCAGACAACTATATGTCGACAAATGCTTATATCGTTTATCTTGGAGATCAACCCATTTCATGGTCATCCAAGAAGCAAAAAGGCGTAGCTAGATCATCAACAGAAGCGGAATATAGAGCTCTTGCCAACACAGCAGCAGAAGTCCGTTGGGTATGCTCTCTTATCTCTGTACTTGGTCTCAATTTCACTATGTCATCTCCTCCGGTGATCTACTGTGACAACATTGGGGCCACCTACCTCTGTGCTAATCCCGTGTTTCACTCTCGGATGAAGCACATCGCCTTAGACTATCACTTTGTTCGGGAACAGATTCAGAATGGTATGCTTCGTGTAGCTCATATCTCTACACATGATCAACTTGCAGACGCCCTAACAAAGCCTCTAGTGCAATCATGTTTTCATCTCCTGAAGCGCAAGATTGGAGTTTCGCAAGCCCCTCCATCTTGAGGGGGCATATTACAATATACTAAATATCTCTGATTGAGATGTGATTGCCTGAATCATAGGCTAGTATATTTCTCATTCATTTGTAAAATATTGTGTTTCCTTAGTTATCTCTACAACCTCTGTATAAATGTAATCGTATAGAACTCAATGGAAATCATCAATTCATTCTCATCATCTCATCTATCTTATACTAGCTTCGTGATAGCCAAAATGTTGTCAAATGGATGTAAGCTTCTAACTAATAAAAACACATCTGCTCTCTTAAGAGTCTCCTCTTTTTTTGTTGATTGCTAAGTTTCTTTGATTTTGTAGGTTTCAAGTGTTCCTGCAGTCTTGAGGCCTCTTTATGAGTCTTCCAAAGTTCTTGATCAGAAAATGACCGTCGCTGTAAGTTCCATATGAACCTGACCCACCCGTGACCTGATTAGACTATGTGTTTCTGAGTTTTATTTCCACATTTTCAGGCTCTGCGACATGTGAGGCAGATTGCTCAAGCGACTACTGGAGAAGTTCAGTATTGTGGTGGACGCCAGCCTGCAGTTTTAACTTTTAAGAACTTTCAGCCAGAGACTCTGCTGGTAAAATATTATATTTCCTCGATTAGTTTATAGTTTTGTTGTCCTCAGCATTATTCTCATTGCTTCTCTTGAAAATCCAGTGGTTTCAATGATGCTGTTAATGGTTTTGCGGATGATGGATGGTCTCCTATTGAGTAGTGATGGAGGAGAGGATATTACAATCATGATCAACTATTCCTCTTCTAAATTCGCTGGCTCTCAATACAGTAACTCTTTTCTTCCAAGTTTTGGAAGCGGTGTCCTCTGTGCCAAGGTTTCTATGCTGTTGCAGGTGCGCTTATATCACGATTTGGCATTTATGAAGATACAAAACAATTGGTTTTCTTCAGTTTCTAACTATATTCTCTTATTTGTCATCTCTTGAAGAATGTTCCACCACTTGTACTGATTTGGTTCCTGAGAGAACACCGACCTGAATGGGCAGACTATGGTGTTGATGCTTATTCTGCTGCATCCCTTAGAGCAACTCCATCCCAAGTAACCAAGTCATTCTTCCTCTCGCACAGACACTTGAACATGAACAGGTAAGAGGAATCTCAAGAACCTTGTCCTTTTTGTCTCTTCTTTAGACATGCCTATGATCCTGTCATGTGCATAGAATAAAGAGATCATGGTTGCTTGTTTCTCAGTTTCTCGAAGTGGTTAGACTTGGACGTCATGCTCATTGCTTACTCACCCGGAGACATGGGAAAAAGAATATATGATATATAGATTACTCGCAACTATACTCTTTACATAAACTAATCATGATATAAGAATTATTCATCTCTCCCAATAGAAAATTAAAAATAAAAAAACGTAAAAATATTTTCAGGATATTTGACCAACTTTTTAACAAATAAGTTCGTTTATAACAGAGAGATTGTTTCTTCTGAAGAAGTTCTTATGTTTAGTTCATCATTGTTTTGGTTTTCTTTTTTAAGTTATTCTTATGTTCAGTTCAGTTTTAAGTAAAAAAAATTAATATAAACTTATATTTTAAACCTTGCTTTTAATTATTTTTTAAAAATAATTTATATTAAAATCCCAGTTGTAAATCATAATTTTTTCATCAGAAAAAAATAAACAGAAGAACCATTGAAAAGGAGGAGGTGGATTATTGAATATTCATTTAGATTGTAAGCCTTAAAAAAAAATAGGCTGCAAAATAAAAAAGCCCACGCATTGCGCGGGTGCTCTCCTAGTACTATATGATTGTTCCAGTTCAAAGATAATTCATTTGCATTACATTTAAGTGTCACAACAAAAATCTAGGATCTTGAAAATGGTGACAAATACATTCGACATGCTTATCTAGCAATAGACATGAAAAACAAAATCGATAACTTTTTTTTTGTTTTTTTTTTTGTAACGGCAAGGCTTGTGATGTTCTTAATGAACAAAAATCGTCAAATATTCCACGACTAGATGAGTTATTTGTGAATTATCATTCCCTCTTGCCCAAAATTAACACAAAATTAAAATGAATTATAGTGGCAAAGTTTGTGAAATTCTCTTGGTGAGAGTGATTGAAGGGTTAGACAGCGAGTACAAGTTGTACAGCGTGAAAGAACTTTGCTACTTTGCATTCCGCTTACGTCAAAAGGGACACCAGAAATGTCAGAGGCTTGGTGTTGGTGAGGGTTTGGAGTACATAAAAAAAATCAAGGATTGGATTGCACACTTGCAACAACGAGTTTAATTGTGCAACCCGATGCACCCAGCAGCAGAACCGGCCCTGGGAGCAAGCAGAGCAAGCAGCTTTTTGCGGCCTAGTTATAAATATATAAATTATCGGCCCTCATGTTAACGAAATCCTTTGTTAGCCTAGTGGTTTGCTTCCTTATCCTATGTCTACCCTAAGCAGAGTTCGATCCCTGCTTATTACATAACAGTTTTCTTTGTTTTTTATTATTTAAATTCGGCCCAACATTATATTTGGCTTGTGGCCAACAAAACTTCAGGGACGGCTCTGCCCAGCAGACAAGGAGAGAGGATCATGATAAAAAGGGGTTTGGTATATGAATGATGACTTGGATGCTGCGTTGAGTCGGCTTGTGCACCAGCCAATAGGTGCAACCGTTGCAGTTTTCGAACCTTAATATGAAGCGACCAAAGAGGTTTGTCACTAATACCTTCCAAATGTATTTCTTAACAAAAAATATTCAGTTTTAATTTGTGTTGTACTTACATAACATGGTGTATACCGAGGGCTGACAAGTAGTAACTCTAAACTTATTGCTTACCACGCATTTGCAAGGAGCCTTGGACCAAGCCCAATAAAACATTCTCCCCTTTTTCAGAATAACAAAATCTACTCTCAATTTTAATTTACTTTTAATAAATGGCTCATTTTAAAAATATATTGTCTGAAAAACTCTTAAATTTATTTTATCTTTCAGGGCCGGCCCTGCGCACTTGTGGTGGTCTCAGCATGGATAGAAGATGGATAAGTGATTCTTGCAAGTTATATCAAAGTGTCTGCATCAATCATGCTCCAGCAAGTTCATTTCAACCAAGGCCATGCAATATGTGGTCTTAAGGGGCGGAGTGATTCTCTTAGCTTGAGCGAAGCAACACCATGATGATAGGATTTGTGTGTGTGAAATGAAATGATGTAAATGATATGAGGTGGAATGCAAACAGTGGTAATGAAGATGAGATGGTATGGTGCAATCACAATCAATCAATTCCTCTTAACCATCATAGTCATTGAAGTATAAGAGGTTATCAATCCAAAAGGTGAAATGTTGCTCTTTGAATTTATGCAAACACAAGAAAGTCAAGCTGACAGTAAATATGATGGGAATAACTCTAACAACCTAATAAAGTGAAATGCAATGCATAAAGTAAAAGAAAGCAGTAAAGCAAGCAGCTCGACCAAGGCTCGATCGAGTGGGAACAGAGTAACCAAGCTCGGTCGAGTTGAGGGTCGAGTTACGTAAAAAGCGATAAAGGCAGAACTTTAAGAAGCTAATGCGAATATTAGGGTCTAAGACAGGGTCTTACAACTAGGGGAAGACTATACTTAATCAATCTTGCTCTTAAACAACTTGTATCAAGGTATCTCTTGATATTGAGCTTCTCAATGCCTAGCTAGCCCTTTCCCAAGGTGAAAGCTATCATCCAAGGCAAGATCTCAGAAACAGGGGGTTAGCCAGTGAGAATCAAGCCTTGGAGGCAGTAGGATCATTGCTCAAACTAATCCATCCAACACCTATGAACTCCATTTCGAGAGCAAGGTTTATTGGAGCTCTTAGTGGACCTTTTCAAGCGATTTCCCAACACTTCCATGTGGAAAATCGCCTATGATCATACAAGCCAGGGGTAGTGGTCATGTAGCCTTAAGGTTTGTCCAAAAGAGAGAGATTTCTAGATTAAGAACATAAGCAATAGAGATTAAGCATAAGGATCCCCTAATCTAGCCCATCTTGGACCCTAAAGGAACTACTCACTACACATGAATAAACACAATCAAATGCAATGAAATCGACATTAAATGAAAGAGGAGATGAAACTAAAAGCTTTTATTGAAATAAGCAAGTGCAAATACAAAGGAAAATAGCCTAGATCTAAGGTTCAAGGAGCATGAAGCTCAAGAACACAAAGAGGCTTAAGGGTTGCAAAAAGTAAATTACAAGAATTAAAGAAAAGCTAAAACAAAAATAAGCTAAAGATTGTTGTCTTTTTCGTGGCTTAGAGCCTTTAAATACAAAGGAGATTAGGTTTAGGGTCAAAGGGGAGTCAAAGGGGAAGCAACATTTTTCGGGTTTGACTGTTGACTCTCAGCTCGATCGAGTTGAAGCTTGGCCGGTCTGAGTAGGTGGTCGAGCTGACTTCAAGATGACTTCCTCCTTCGTCCTATGCGTGTCTGGTTGAGCTGCGTCCATGCACCAAGTCCTTCCTTGCTCCTCACGTCCCAAATGCTCCAAAGTGCTCCAAAAGACCTATTTCAAGGACCAAACATGCACATGTATGCAAATGCAACCTAAAACTACTATGAATGCACAAGAAGGGAAAAGGAACAAGATATGATGCTAATGGATGCTAAAACTATGCAAAAGATGCATAACAGATGTACTAAAACTATGTAAAATGCAAGTACATCAACACCCCTAAACTTTCCAACTTAGAGATTCTAGAATGCAACAAGGTGAGAGATATTCATTAAGATTTTAACCATGCTTATCAACATCAATCCCACTTCACAGTCACTCAAACAATGCATTAAATCAGCAAATCCCTTTAACATTTATTAAGAAAATCGTGAACCAAAAACATGCAAGATCAATCAACTCATTTGGTTTTAAGGGTTTAGGGGTTAAGAGACAAATAGGTTCTCTCTTTTTGAGTGTATGGTGGTTTAGTAACAGGGATCTCTCAAGAAAGTGGCTTTGTTTTGGCAGAAGGCTAAGTGTTAGAACCAAAGATGATGCAAGAGCAGCAACTCGAGCCACCTAATCCTAACTCGATCGAGTTCAACACTTAGAGCTTTTAAAGAACAAATCCTAACTACCCTTTTTGGCATTTCGCCTTTGAAACAGAGGAGCTTTGCTCACTTTTCTTTTAAGAACAACACAGGGAGAGGTTTCTAAGGTAACATCTAGCGGTTTGGGATTTTTCTACACTTAGGGAACTTTTTCTTTCTTTTAAACACTTGAGGCTTTGCCTTCTTTTCTTTTCTACTTAGAACCCTTTTTCTTTCTTTTTTTAACTTCCCAAACATTTACTAGACCCTTTTTTAACACTGACCAATCCCTGGACTTAACTAAACTCTTTTCTTTGGTTTTTCCCAACTTTTACCACTTTTCTGGTTTTGACACCCCAACTCGATCGAGCTCGAGTGGCACCCCCAAACTTAGCCTGAAAATGAACCCAAGAGGACTAGATAACTAGAACTACTGCTCCTGCCGGTTTAAACACAACACCTTATGCTAAGCAAAGCCAAGAAAGGTCTCACAAGTCGCACAAGAGATAATATAAGGGTTTGAAATGAAAAGGCTTAGGTTTAAGTTGGGGTAACTGTCTCAAAGATGGAGAT